GATTGTCACAGGCATGCTGATTTGGGGGAAGGTTTTTTTCTTTGTTTTTTTGAGACAGGGTCTCCCTGTAGCCCCAGCTGGCCTAGAACTTCAATTGTCACAGGCATGCTGATTTGAGGGAAGGTTTTTTTCTTTGTTTTTTTGAGACAGGGTCTCCCTGTAGCCCTAGCTGGCCTAGAACTTGCTAGGGAGACCAGGGTGGCCTTGATTCACAGAAATCTGCCTCCTTCTGCCTCTCAAGTGCTGGGATTAAAGGCATGCCCCACCACAGGGAGACCAGGGTGGCCTTGATTCACAGAAACCTGCCTCCTTCTGCCTCTCAAGTGCTGGGATTAAAGGCATGCCCCACCACACCCAGCTCAAGAGGGAAAGTTTTGACTTTGGTAAATAGCAGGCCACATGCTTTTCTACCCTCAGTTATTTACTGGGCACATCTTGAAGATAAGTTCATATCAGAACAGCTTTCTTACTCTTGCTTTTAATATACTGTATAGAATACAGTGCGTGGGTCACTACCTCCATAATCAGTTTGACCAATCCCCTAATGATGAGCACTTAGGTTGGTTCCATTTTTTTAAAAAAATATTTTATTCATTATTTTTTATTTTATGTGTATAAATATATTGCCTGCATGTATGTAAGTGCACCCATGTTGTGCAATGCCTTCGGAGGTCAGATGAGGGTATTAGATTTCCCTTGAACTGGAATTACAGACAATTGTTGGCTGCCATGTGATGCTGGGAACTGAACCTGAGTCCTCTGTAAGAGCCAGTGCTCTTAACCACTGAGCCATCTTTCCAACCTCTGGTTCTACTCTTTTACTCTCACAAACAACATTGCAATGAACAACCTTTTACACAGGTAGAAGCAGATTCCTTCAGGCAGAAGTTGTTGGGACAGAGGAAGAAGATCTACATAGCAAAATGTTTTATTTGTTGAGAGCCCGCTCCTCGCCCATTTTCTCCTGCTTCTGTGCTTCTTCCTCTCCATCCTGAGCTCCTGGTATCTCCAAAGAGGAAGAGCCAGACTTTGATCTCTCGTAGGCCTGGGTATCAACTTGTACTGGGTAGGGGAAGAAAGTGCCTTGGATAGGAGGATCTTGGGGACTTGAGATCTGGTACTGGGTACTGGGGGAAGGGGAGGGGTGGTACCCAGCAGCTCTGGCACAGACTTGCCTCTGGTGCCCAGCACAGGTGGTTTTGGTCAGGGCATAGTGTACGGCAGGCAGTAGTGAGAAAGGGACTGGCCAGGCTGGTGGTGACAGTCACAAAGTGGTCCAGGACACTACCCTCCTGAGGAGACTGGACAAAAGAGTCTCAGTGTGGCCTGCAGCCTTTCTAGGAGGGATGGGGTAGCCTGGGCCTGGGTCTGCGGCACAAGCTGAGCCAAGGCTGGCCACTGTGGCTGGTAGTTCTCATTGAGCTGCTCAGCTCGGGGCTGCTTCAGCAGCAGCTGGATCCTCCACACTATGTCAAAGCTGTCGGTCATCACAGCCTACTCCAAGGCTGTCTTGCCCCTGACAGGATCTACAGAACTAAGGTCAGCACCTGTAGGGGCCCAGGGTGAGGAGAGGCGGGTTAGGGAGCAGTTATGCTTCAGAGCAGCAGCGATGGGACATTCATCAGAGCAGGACTGGTTTGGGTTATATTTGAAATACCTCCCACACCAACAGCCAAATATTGCAACCTTCGGTGTCAGAGACAGGAAACCACCCAAATCAGAACTTGGAGACACTGCAGAGAGCTTTTGGGGTCTCCAACAGTAGCACAGAACTGCCTGAGCAGAATAGAGGACAGAGGGCTGCAAAGGGGAGCGGGTCCTGCTGCTGGTCTCTTCATCATCACACCCTCCCATCCTGGAGCCAGAGACACCACTCTAAGAAGGACATGGAGTGCCCTTCCTTCTTCCCTAAACCCAGTGGGATTGGGAAAGGAAAAGCTGGAGGTCTGGATCCCTTAAAAGAGACCAGCAGAGGGCAGCCCCACCCACCTCATGCTTGGTCCTTCAGCCTCAGCTGAATGCTGCCTGAGAACTGGGGGCGGCCTTCACAGCGCTGTCTGCCAGGGGAAGGACAACACCCTCTGCCGAGGCTCAGAGACAAAAGCCATCTGCCCAGAGTCACTCAGGCCTGGACTAGAACTCTTTGCTGGGGTCGCCATAAACAGCTATGGGTAGTTGGACTTTGTAGATTGTGAGATGCCCCTCTTCTAATAAGCTGGTCTAGATGGATGGTCCATCTTAACATCTTTTGCTGCAGTTAAATGATGGCAGACTTGGTGTCTGGTGGGGAGGCTGTGGAGGGACTGAAGCTGACTCCACGCACCTGCCATGAGCAGGGCAGCCACATACTCCCAGTGGTTGCATATGGTAGTCTTCATCAGTGTGGTGAGCCCCCGCTGGTCCTGGCGCTTCAGGTCCAGGCCACTGTAGTAGTTTAGTAGGAGACTCACCAGAGGCACATGACCTGCAGGAATGGGACTACAGAGCTTGGCTCCCCAGCCAAGGGGATGCTGGAACCCCAAGCTCACCCTCCAGCCTGGTAGAGCCTTGCTGGAGAGAACCTTGGGCAAGGTTTGAGGCTGTTGACCTAAAAGCTTCGAGCCAGGGGTCAGCAATCGTGCATCTGCTTGGGCAGCCAGCATGAGGGTGGTGTCCTGTTCTTTGTCCTGCTGGTTCACATCCAGGAAAGGACAGTGGCTAAGCAGAGCTACGACACTCTCAAAGCCATGGTAGCATGTGACCATGAGGCCTGTCTGGGGACAGGGCAGCTTAGATCCCCACTTTCCTCCAGGTTCTTCCTAGGGCCCCTTATGTCCTTTAATCTACACTTTCCCAGAGCCTGTCCCAACCCCTGTGAAGATGGCCCTCATCCACCCAGAGAGTGAGGACTGATCCTGGAACTCTGGGGAGCCAGACCAGGATACTGTGGTGGGAACTGGGCTGCCCAGCTCCCCTGGCAAGCCCTGGAGCATCTCACCCTTCCATTGCTGTCCACTTGGGGGCCCTCCTCCGGGGAGACCCTGACATCCAGCCTGGCTTGGAGCTGAGCGGGGTCATTGTGAGCACAGGCCCAGTACAGAGTTTTCAGAGTGCAGCCTGGGGCAGGGGTCTTATTGTTGGGACAGGACGGTGCCACAGACATGTCCAGCCATCCCTGGGGCAATTGTGGCTCCTCCACTTCCAGTCAGGGCCCAGAAAGTGAGTCCCTCCTCATTCAGCTGGCAGGCTGTGACAGAATGGAGAGGGAGTGTCTCCCCTGATTCTGGGCAAAGGTTCCTGCAGCTATCCCCTCTCCCCAGAGAAAGCCTTTACCCCAGTGGGTATCTCACTGCTGCCTGGATGGAGCACCCAAGAGCAGGGCAGCTCACTGTAAGTCAGGTCCCTAAGAAAACTCATGAAAGGGCTTGTTTCTTCTTCCTAGCCCCCACCTTACCTAGGGGTCCAGTGTCTCCGAGAGGCCATCATGACAGGAGCACAGCATGGGGCACAGAGCACCCCGTCACCTCCAAAAGCACACTAACCCTTCTGTGAAGTGGTTGAGGAACTATCTGTTCCCAGAAAGAACAGATGGCTATACCTGCAGAAAGAGCTGCCACAAATACCTTGGGGCTGAGGTGGGTCAGGAGGGTTAGGAAGGGATTTGGGGGCCTGCAGGCCTCTTGTTCTGTATGTAACAGCCTAAGCCCTACTCCAAGATCCTGCTGGACTTGGCTGGTGACAGCTTCTCCTTGCCCAGAGTTGAGCAAGGCCACCTGGGCTGAGCATCTTTATCTGGAGCCTTCGTGGGAAGCCAGCTTCAGCCTTGCAAGACATTTGGAGGGTCTTGGAACCCAGCTCCTAAGAGTCTGATGGAGTAGATTAGGGGAAGAGACTGTGGTTGTGGAGGGGGAAGGTGTGAGCATTAAATAAGGTTGGAATTCTCAAGATGAACAGGGAGGTGGGTTCCAAGGGTTCACATGAGAAGATCAAAGTATAAAGAATTGTCAATTAAGGTGAAATTAAATGCAACATATTTTAAAATGATTTTTAAAGTAATAATAGAACATAAGTCATTTAATTTTCTTAAAGTTAAGTTCGATGACCTGGCTGGCACTCAGGTGTCGTTTTGTTCTGTCTCCTTTCATCTGTGATTTCCCCACACAGCTTCCTCCTCCTCTCTTTACCAAGTGGCTCTAATAGAAACTTTGAATGTGTACATTTCACTTTAAAAAATGTAACATTAATTTGTGTTTTCTTTGGTTGGTCTTTTAAAAAATTATTAATTTTTAAATTTTGTGTGTATGAGTGTTTTGCCTGCATGTATGTAAGTGCACCACATGTGTGCAGTGCTCACAGAGGCTCAAAGAAGGGGTTGGATCACCTGGAACTGAAGTTATTTATTTTTTATTTATTTATTATTTATTTATTATTTTTGGTCTTTTGGAGACAGGGTCTCCCTGTATCCTCAGCTGTCCTGGAACTCACTATGAAGACCAGGCTGGCCTTGAACTCACAGAGATCTACCTGCCTCTGCCTCCCGAGTGCTGGGATTAAAGGCATGCGCTGGAACTGAAGTTATAAATGGTTGTTAGTCACCATGTGGATGCTGGGAACCGAACCTGGGTCTCCTCAGCCACTGAGCCACCCTTCCAACCCCGTTTAGTTGATTTTTGGATTATTGTTGTTTGTTTTCTTTGTTTTTTGTTTGGCTTCCAGACAGACACCTGTGTAGCCCAGGCTGGCCTTGAACTCATGATCTTCCTGTCTCACCCTCTCTAGCACTGGGATCACAGGTTTGCCATGCCTGTCTCTTGTGTATGTTTTTTTAAGAAGTTCTGAATTATGCATAGAGGTTTCTTTTTTTCCTCTATTGTGTATTTTAAAGACCCGTCGCGTGACTTTACATGCACTATGGAGGAGCATGTAGAGGTGTAAGAACTGAGCTGACCTGCACAGTCAATGCCTGTCACAGGCTGGCTGTGCAGCCTTAGTCCACAGCTCTTTGGTGAACTGCAGAAGCTGGAAAGCTAAAGGGAGTTCCAGCTTCCCTGGAACTACGAACTTGTTTTAGGTTCTGCTCTTATGCAAGACGTAAATCTGGAACACAGCTATGTAGCCTGGGACATCCGCTTGTCTGGGACAGATTGTGACAGCGGAGGGCTGGCTCTGTGAGCTGCTTCCTGCTTCATCAGCTTCCTGTAGTAGTGACTGTTGATTTCTCAATCACAGGCAGAAGTCATGTGATTTGCAAAGCTGGCAGTTGTTTCTGACCTACAGCCTGCTTTTTCACTGCTTTCTATTTCAACCCTGATATATTTCTGTTGTCTGTCACTGATACATGTGGCTTAATAAATAGGGGTTTATTTTTCATATAAGAAAAAAACAAATTTAGGAATAGTAAGCTTAAGCAGCTTGTAAGGTTAAACAACTTGATGCCAGGGCTTCTGGGATTCTCTTCCTCTTCCTCTAAGTCACAAGATGGCTCCTGCACTCCCTAACCATCACAGTAAGGTGTAGTGAATACACACCATGGAATTCTACACAGTACTTAGATGTCTACTAGATTATAGGCCAGACATCTCTGATCAGCTAATGCAATCTCTTTCCATACTTCTCCTTTTCTCTACCTTTGAGCTAGGCCTGATCATGTAATACAGTTTTGGCCAGTGAAATGCTAGCAGGAGTCTGATGGTAAGGAAAAATCATTGTTATCTTTATAGAAAATATCAGGGGAATTCCATGGCATACATCCGCCATGTTTAGCTTGCCCCTTCTTTAAGAGGTAGATGTAATTAAGGAAGGGTTTATTTGGCTCACAGTTCAAGGGTACAATCCATCCTGGTGTGGGGTCATGGCAGCAGGAATGTGAGACAGCTGGTCACACTGCATCCACGGTAAGAAAGCAGAAAACACGCAGGCTTGTGATCACCTTGCTTCCCCCTTTTTATTCAGTCAGAGACTTCAGCCCAGAGAATGATGCCACCCACAGTTAAGGTAGGTCTTCCACATCAATGAATGCAACCTATAGAATCCCCCACAGGCATGTCTAGGTTGCCTACAACTTCCTGCTACTACAAATAATGCCTCAGTGAATACCCTTGAATTCATCTAGCTATGGACTTGCTGAGCCTTAAGGCACACATATGCTTATGTACCAGATCCTGTCAGATCGCTCTGTTTTGCAGTGCCTCCCTCTGCAGTGATGTTTCCTTAAGTCCAGGCCTGTGATTATCACTGTTCAGTCTTCTAATTTTCATTCGTTTGACAGTACAGACCTAGGAAGCAATATTGCTATTTGATGTTGAATTTTTCATTTATCAACAAGGTGAGCCCCTCCCCCCATGTCTGATAACCATTCTTGTTACCTCTTCTGGGATTTGCTTGCTCGTGGCCTTTGCCTGGCATGTGGAGGGTTTTCCTGTCCTTTTCTTTCTGATTCTTCAGAATTCCTTAATACTCCAGATAATAAACTCATAGTCATATGGTGCGTTATTTTGAGGGCAATTTTTTATCCAGTGTCCAGTTTCTCCACATTTAAAGTAAAACACTCTGACCAAAAGCAACTTTTTTGGGAGGCAGGGAGAGTTTATTTGGCTTACAGCTCATAGTCCATTGTTGGACGCCCCCCAAGCCCAGCAGGCTTAGAGCTCCAACAAGATAGGAATCAAGTCAAGAGTCTTGATGTTATTGCGATAAGTTTATTTAAAGAAAGACTCCTAACAATCAAGCAAGCATAGGCACAATCATAAAATGAATCCAATGTTATGAGTTACACAGAGCTTATATAGGAATCAGATCACAAGTATCTAAGAAGTAACCAAGGAATCATTAAGGATTCATTACTAACAGAAAGTAACTAAGGACACAGCACATAACTGCATCACGTCACCATCACCTGATACTCACACGATAGTTACAGATACATAATATTTACAATCTCTAGGATACAATGTGTATTGCCCATGATCACTCGTAATAACTACTAGAATTAATGATTTTTATATAGAAACCAAGTAAACAGAGGTGAGAAACTCCAGTGCCCCTAACCTGAAACAATACTCTTTAGTTATGTTTCCAAGATAACCAATTAATCAAGGAGGCATAGCCTGTCAACTCAAACCACTGAAGCAGAGTAGAGAAGCTCTTAAAGCGGCAGTCTTTTTTCTTCTATGCTTAAGTCAAGCATGGCTCCTGACAGTCCATCATCAAGGGAAGCCAAGGTAGGAACTCAGAGGGACGTAGAGGCAGGAACTGAAGCATCGACTGTGAGAGAACGCTGCTTACTGACTTGTTCCTCTGACCTGTGCTCAGCCTCCTTTTTTATACAACTCAGGACCACCGGCCCAGGGATGGCGCCATCCACAGTGAGCTGGGCCTCCACACATTACTCAGTAATCCAGAGAATGCCCCATAGACATGCTACCCAGAACACTCATGGTGGCACTTAAAAGAAAGTCTGAATTCTGACATGGTTAAATTCTTCAAGATTTCTCCTTATACCTTTTCTTTTAGTATCTTTTAAAGCTTTATTTTCATTATTTTAAGTTATATAAATAAAAGTGCATTTGCCTGTGGGTATGTGCACATGAGCACAGTTGCCCACAGAAGTCAAAGGTGTTAGATCCCCCTAGGGCTGGAGTTACAGACAGTTGTGGTTTGCCTGATGTGGGTGCTGGGTACTGAACTCCAGTCTTCTGCAAGAACAGCAGGTGCTCTTAACCACCCAACCATCTCTTCACCCCGATTTAGAATCTTGTTTGAAAAT